AGAGAGGATGATTCTATGAGGGTTAAATGTGAAATACTGACCTTCTCTCTCCAGTCCTAACACCCAGTATCCATTGTCGGGAGACAAAGTCACATCTGTCACCTCCCTGTCCACGTCATCCCTGCACACTCCTAAAGACCACATTTCATTGCACCCCACATCCACCTCCCAATAATGTTTTCCTTCCTGGAATCCCTGAGAAGCCATCACACACTTCTTTAGAAATCTTTTCATTGAAAGAGTCACTTCCTGGTGAGTGTTCCTAGAGGTCACAGTTTTCAGATCAAACATGCAGAGCTGCAGTTGAGCCGTGTTGGGGTCCAGTGTCACTTCCACTAGGGTATGGTAGGAGAAAGAAAGCAAGAGGTGCTGAGAAGGGATCTGGGATGGATGCAGAGGTCACCCCCTCCTACAGTAGACTGGCTTGGGGTGGGATCTGCTGAGGTCCCAGAGCCAGAGGCCCCATCAGATACTGCCCCTGCCCCTGCCTCATCTCCATTGTGGCCCTGGAGACTCACCAAAGCCTGGAGATGCCCAACTGTGAGTCCTAACTCGTGTGTGTGACTTCAGCCCTACTACTGCGCCTCCACGTAAGCTCACTATGACTTTGTGAGAACTTGCTCGGCACCTCTAATCAGTTTCCTCCCATCCTGAGTCCTGCTCAACATCAGCTCCACCTGCCTCGGTCCAGCCCCCTGCATATTCACTAGGGCCCTTAAATCTCTGGAGCTTTGCCTGTGACCCTCACCCATATCTGTCATTGGTCAGCTCCCTCTCCAACACCCACCCGAGGCTCTTTCCCACCGTCATCCCCTCACGCACTGGTACCTGCATGTTTCCGGGCATCTCTCAGTTCTGAAAACAAGCAGACAGCACAGCAGGGTCAGTGCTCACACAGAGAGCAGGATACAGGAAGACGGGAGACTAAGGATGGTTAACCTTTTTGGGTATCACAGATCTACCAGAGACCTGATGAAGACCATGGGATTCTCTACAAAATGCACCTTCCTCAGAATCTGCAGACAATTTGGGGCCCCCATCACAAGCTTGTCTCTGCAGAGACCCATGGCCTCGGGTTATAAGACTGATAAACTAGGGACTTG